ACTAGAAACTAGAAATGGAAAATTTTTGATAATAACATGCATGATTAAGCCACTATGCAGTATATTCTGGATGGGGAAATCACATTTTGTATGCTGTGATGATGCTTAGGGGAAGAATGTAAATTAAGTTACAAAAAAAAAAGTCTCGGGGAAAAAAAAAATGTATTCAATGACTGCAGTAAGATATATAGCCCCAGCTAGGTGCTACTTTATAAGATGTGTAAAGTTAGACTTGTGTTCATGGAAATGTATATATCACCTGTGTTTGCTATGAAACTATTTAGATTAATTAAGGTCTTTAGTAATTCAATAAAATGTGGGGGGAAAATAGTATAGAAAGCAAACATAGATACCAGAGACAGTGTGGGAAGAGAGTGGGAGATGGCAGAGGGTAAGAGATAGGGAATCAAGGATGGGGGAAAAAAACAAAACATACAGAAAACAAAAAATGAAAAATTATTTGCTGACAATAACATGTTTGTTGATGTGCTTGATTGAGACAATATACAGTGTATTCTGGATGGAAAATCTCATTTTGTATGCTGTGATGATGTACAGTGAATGAATGCAAATAAATAAATTGAAATTAAAAAAAAGTTATATGACCAGTACAACTTGAAATTTTTTTAAAGAAATTATTTTATTTAACTTTGTTTATTTATTTATTTTAATTTGACTAGAGAGGGACAGAGTGAAAGAGAGAGAGGAAAAGTGAGAAAGCAAGCCGCCAGGTCCGGGACTCGAACTGCAATTGGCCATGTGGGATTCTAGCACCCTTCACCACCACGCCACCGGCCAGCCCCCAACTTGAAATGCTTTTAAAAAATTATTTATTTTATTTTATTTATTCATTCATTTATTTTAATTTTTACCAGTGAGAGACACAGAGAGAGAGAGAGAAAGAGGGAAAATGAGAAAGAAAGCCACCAGGTCTGGAACTCGAACCGATGCTGACCATGTGGGAGTCTCCAGCATCTTAACTACCTTGCCATCTGCTGGTCCCTGAAATTTTTTTATACTAAGGGTTTGGTGTTAACACTTGAGGATGTAATGCATTAATAGAAACCAACTCATAATTTTTACTTGTTTTCAGGGTGTTAGAAGTTGTAAAATGATAATCAGGACACTTTCCCCTCCTTTGGAAACTGAGTGTCAGGGTCGAATGACTCAAAGCCCCTGGATGAGTGCATTTAGGCCCCGCTACTCTGATTTACTCATCACCACCATCTTTCCCTTCTGCCGTACATGTTTACGGCCTACATATTTGTTATCTATCAAGTCGTGATCATTTTATTGTTGTTTATGCCAAATGTTAATTGCCAAGCTTGGAGTGACCTAAAGAATGTCTTCAGAGCATGACTAGATTCTTCAGGATATTTTATTTTACAAAAACCTAATTTGAAAAGCCACATGTATTGATTGTTATAAAATAATATGCTGCCATTTTTTGATTGCTACAGCTTTGTTAACACTTTAGATCAAACCGAACTATGCTCTATTCCCTGTGAAAAACTTAGTAAATTCTGTATATCAATTTAAAAAATGGAAATGCCAAAACTTATGTAATGTAACAAAAGCAATTCAAAGAGGGAGATGTATAGCAATAACACCCTCATTAAGAAAAGAGAAAGCTGTGAACTAAAAACCTGATTTTATACCTCAAGGAACTAGAAAAAGAAGAACTAAGATCAAAGTCAGCAGAAAAAAAGGAAATAAAAAAGATCAGAGAAGAAATTGAGTCTACAAAAAAAAAAGAGAGAGAGAGAGAGAGAGATAAAGACCAATGAAACCAAAAATTGGTTTCTTTAAAAAAAAAAAGAATTATTTTATTTAACTTTATTTATTTATCCATTCTAATTTGACCAGAAAGGGACAGAATGAGAGGGGAGGGGAAAAAGTGAGAAAGCATGCCGCCAGCTCCAGGAGTTGAACCACGGTCCAGTGCCCTTCACCACCACACCACCTACTGGGCCTAAGAATTAGTTTCTTGAAACAAATTTGACAAGCCTTTATCAAGACTAACTTTTTTAAAAAGGAGAGAGAAGCCTCAAATAAATAAAATTATAAATGAAAGATGATACATTCCAACTGTTACCAAAAAAATATAATGGATCTTAAGAGACTTCTATGGGGACCAGCAGTTAGCGTAATGACTATGTCGCTGGACTCCCATGTAGTCAACCACAGTTCGTGTCCCAGACCCGGTGGCTTAAACTCACACCAGGCATATGTGCTTGCATGCCTAAGATCCCAAGAGGAGAATGAAGGAGAAGGGATTGCGGCATGGCCATCCCCCCTGGGGGGCGATTTCTCGCTTTCTCTCTCTCTCTCTCTCTGTCTTTCTGGCGAGTGCATGCATCCTATAGCAAAAACCTCTCAAAAAAAAGAGAAAGAGAGAGAGAGAGAGACTTCTATGAACAATTTCATGCCAACAAATTGGATAACCCCTAGAAGAATTGGATACATTTCTAGAAAAAACACAATCTACCAAGATCAAATCACAAAGAAATAGAAAATCTGAACAGAACAATAGTAAGGAGATTAAATTAGAAAGAAAGCAACTTAAGTGCACCTTGATAGATGAATGGATAGAGAAAATGGGGACACACACGTACTAGGATATCATTCAGCCTTTTTTTTAAAAAAGAGAAAGAAAATCCTGCCATTTGTGACAACATAGATGAACCTGTAGAGCTTATGCTAAGTGAAGTAAGCCAGACAAATTACTATATAACTTCATTTACATATAGAATCTAAAAAGTAGGGACCAGCAGTTGGTATGGTGGTTAAGACCTTGGACTCCCACAGGGCTGGCCATGATTTGAGTCACAGACCTGACAGCTTGCTTTCTCACGTTCCTGCTCTCTGTCTCTCTTTGTCTCTCTCTCTCTCTGTCTTTCTCTGGTGAGGGCACATGCCCTGTAGCAAATTTTAAAATATAATACTGATAAATAAATCAAAGTAATATTTTTTAAAATATTTTTTATTTATTTTTATTTCTTCTTATTAGTTTTTAATTCAACCAGAGAGAGACAGAGAGAGAGAGAAGAGGGGAATGTGAGAAAACTAGTTGTCAGGTCTAGAACTCAAACCATGGTCAACCATGTGGGAGTCCAGCACCTTAACCACCATGCCACCTGCTGACCTAAATACATCTTTTTGAGAGAGATGTTTGCTACAGGGCACATATGCTCACCAGAGAGACAGAGACAGAGAGACAGAAATAAAGAAATCACCCCCAGGGGGAATGGCCAGCCTGCAATTCCTTCTCCATTCTCCTCTCAGGATCTTGGGCACGCAAACTCACTGACATGAGTTTCAGGTTGCCAGGCCTGGGACTCGAACCACAGTCAACTACGTGGGAGTCCAGTGACATAACCACTATGCCATTTGCTGGTCTCGAATGTTTCCCAAAAAAACCACATAAGATTAAAAAAAGAAGAAGAAAAGACTCTAAAAAGTTAAATTCATGGACACACAGAGTAGAATGGCAGTTGCCAGAAGTTAAGAACGGCGGGGGATGAGGGCATGACTGTGAAGGCATAGCAGCAGGGAGATCTTTGTAATGACCGAGTAGCTCTGTATCTTAAAGTAGTGGTGGTTACACACATCTATGCATGAGATAAAATTACAGAAGGACTGAACCATGTGCACATTTCATAAAAACCCCATTTCCTGGACTTGATACTGTGTGATAATTCTGTAAGATGTAAGCATGGGAGGAAGTTGAGTAAAGGGTACACCAGACCTCTCCATATTATCTTTGCAACTTCCTGTGACTCTGTAATGATTCTTTTATAAAAAAGCTTATTTAGGCCATGTACATGTGAGCATCCCAGGTCTGGTAGTAGTACACAGTATTCATGTTTACTAATTAGTACCTTTTTTCTTTTTCTCTCTTTTCTTTCTTCCTTCCTTCCTTCCTTCTTTCCTTTCTTCCTTCCTTCTTTCTTTCATTGCCAGAGGGTTCAGGCATTCACCAGAAAAGCAGAGAGAGGGAGAGGGAGAAAGGACCCCTCGCTGGGGCGTGGTCAGGCCACAACTCCTTCTCCTCCCCTTCTCCATTTCGTCAGGATTTTAAGCATGCATACACATACAGCTGGCAGGTTTTTCAAGCCTTCAGAGTCTAGGATTCAAATCATTGGGTATGTGGGATCCACCTCCCCTAACCATTAGACTACAGGGCTGACCAGTACTTTTTCCTTACAATGAAACACTGTTACATATAACGCTACATCATTTGCCTTATATGGACAGGTTGTGACATGTTGCACAGACTTTACTTTTCTAAGTAACCTAAACTTCTCTCTTTAAATAATGTTAAGACATTTGCTAGGCATTTTGCCAGACCATATTAAAACTGTTCTTGCAGTTTTGTACAAATGAAAACAGAAGGCAGAATTCGATATACCGGGTTTACTTCAGGGGTAAGAGACTTACCAGACAGCCAGTTGTACATACAGACTCAGTTTCCTTTCCTTAAAGAAAACTCAGATTGCATTGACTAAGAATGTTATGAGCAAGTAAAATTTTTATGGAGGCCAGATGGTGGTGTAGGAGTAAAACACAACACTCTGTGAGTTAAGCCCATTTGAGAACGTTCCAGGTTCATGTCTGAGTTCATAGGTATGTACTCAGCTTCATGGAAGCACTTTAAAAATATATAGAGAGATAGATAGAGAGAGAGAGAGAGAAAAAGAAAACAAACTGCCAGGTCTGGGACTTGAACCATGGTCCAATGTGTGGGAGTCCAGTGCCTTAATCGCCGCCACGCCATTGACTGGCCCTGGGAAGCATCTTTTGATTGTATTGAAAGCAAGCAGACTTGGCCATGTCACTGCCACCTGAGCACTCCAGGCATGTATGCCCATAACCCTGGTCTAGTAGGGCCTAGAGGTGGATCGTGATCCTGGTAGGGGTGCTATCTGTTTCCCTTGCTTGCTTGTGGAAGAAATAAATGAATGAACGACAACCAAAAAAATTATAAAAAATGTTTATTAAAAAAACTTCAGTGGAATCTGGTAGAAAATACCCTCTCATTCCCATCAAGCCCTTGGGACTTCTGAAGATTCTCTAGGCTCCACCGAGGGCAGCAGAGCCAAGGGCAAGGTCCAGGTACCCTTGGATTGGAAATTCAGCAGCGTCATAGCTGTTTCTGAGCTCTCAGTAATGCAATGTATGTTTGCACCCATTTTTCTTTTGGTTGGACACAGACTTGCTTGCCTCTTTTGGTAGTGAATCTGTGAAAAAGAGACACGAAGAAGTGAATATGGAGAAACTTTGCCTCCTGGGAAGGGGTAGAAAGGGAGGAAGGGGCAACTCCTAGACCAGTCCTCTCGCCTTTCCCTTCCCCCAGCACACTCTGTCCATGCCCCCTTTCTCCTGGGCCTTGTCCTTCCTCCTCGTTGCCACCGTGGTTTCCACTGTGAACTGTGCTTTCAGGCTCACCTCCCTGGGGATCCATTTCAACAGCTCTAGTTTTTGTTTTTTTTTTAAGTTTTTGTTTGTTTGGTTTGTTTTGTTCTGTTTTTGAGAGATTTTTTGTTCTAAGGTGCTCACCACAGAGACAAAAAGAGACAGAGACAGAAAGTGAAAAATCACCGTCTGGGGGCATGATCACATCACAATCCCTTCTCCATTCTCCTCTTGGGATTCTGGACATGCGTACACATGCGCCTAGTGTGAGTTTTAAGTTTTGAGCTACCAGGTCTGGGACTCAAATTGCAGTCAACTGTGTGGGAGTTCAGCGATATAACCATTACACCATCTGCTGGTCCCTTAAAAGTTCTCGTTCACAACATCCAACCTGTACCATGGCACTTAACTCTTATGTTAATATAACAGCCTACTGAGAGAATTTGCACACTGTAGAATTCACCCATATTAAGTATACAATCAGGGCCACCCTGTAGCCTAGTGGTTAAGGAAGCTGAGTCCTGTAAAACCAGTCATGTCCTGATGACTTGAAAAAGATTCCAGGTACATGTGCATGTGCACCAAAACCATGGAATGGAGAAATGGAGAAGGGATTGCAATGTGACTACTGGGGGGTGAGTTCTCCCTCTCCCTCTTTACCTCTCTGCCTCTCTGGCAAACACACACACCATCTGGCAATTTAAAAAATAGTAGGGACCAGCAGTTAGCGTAATGGCTATGTCACTGAACTCCCATGTAGCCAACCACGGTTCGCGTCCCCGACCGGGTGGTTTAAACTCACGCCAAGCATGTGTGCATGCGTGCCCAAGATCCCAAGAGGAGAATGGAAGACAAGGGATTGCGGCGTGGCCATCCCCCCGGGGTGTGACTTCTCACTTTCTATCTCTGTCTCTCTCTTTCTGGCAAGTACACATGCCCTATAGCAAAAACCTCCTCCGCCCCCCAAAAAATAGCATATAATCATAAGTCAGTGATTTTTAGTATACTCATAAATTATGCGACCATCACCATGATCAATTTTACAACAGTTTCATCATCCCAGAAAGAAGCCCCATACCCATCAAGCCACTTAATTTCTAACCTCATTATTTTGGGTTGTTCACCATAGCTACTTATACAAAGTGATTTCAAAGAGTTTGTGGAAAATAAAATTAAAGTATGAGTCTATTTGGAGGCAAATTTTTTTTTGAAATCCATGTATAGTTTTTTCATAATATGTACTTTTTTAAAAAGAATTATTTATCCTGGGACCAGTGGGTGGCGTGGTAGTTAAGGCGCCGGACACTCCCACACAGTCAACCATGGTTCAAGTCCTGAACCAGTTGGCTTGCTTTCTCACCTTCTCTCTCTATCTATCTATCTCTGGTTAAATGAAAAATAAATGAATGGGAACCAGCAGTTGGTGTAATGGCTATGTCGCTGGACTCCCATGTAGTTGACAGAGGTTTGTGTCCCAGACAAGGTGACTTAAACTCACACCGGGTGTGTGTGCGTGTGTGCCCAAGATCCTGAGAGGAGAATGGAGAGAAGGGATTGTGGTGTGGTCATCCCCCCTGGGGAGTGATTTCTCACTTTCTGTCTCTCTGTCTTTCTGGCAAGCGCACGCATCCTATAGCAAAAACCTCTCCAAAAAAAGAAAAAGAAATGAATGAATAAATAAAGTTAAATAAATAATTCTTTTTAAAAAATTTATCCATTTAACTTTATTTGTTATTATTATTTTTTAAAATTTAACCAGAGAGAGACAGAGAGAGAAAGGAAAAGTGAGAAAGCAAATCTCCAGGTCCAAGACTCGCACTGCGATCAGCCATGTGGGAGTCCAGCAGCCCAACCACCATGCCACCTGTTGGCCCCATAATATGTACTTTTTTACGAACTTTTTGAAGATCTCTTGTGGATGATCTCCACGTTCACTTTCATGCTGTGCACTTATTGCTTTTTTTTTTCCTGAGATTTTTGCTATAGGGCATCTGTGCTTGCTAAAGAGACAGAGAAAATGAGAAATCACTCACACACACACACACACACACACACACACACACACACACAGGAGAATGGCCATACCACAATCTTTTCTCCTCCATTCCCCCTTGAGATTTTGGGTGCACATGCACATGCACCCAGCATGAGTTTCAAGCTTCTGGGTCTGGGACTAGAACTGTGGTCAGCCATGTGTTAGTCCAGCACCTTAGCCACTACACTACCTGCTGGCCCCACATGCTGTAAACTTATTAAAGTGGGTTCATGGTTGATGTCCCTGAATTTCCTTCAGCCTTGAAACACCCTGAAAGCCCTCAGAGTGACAGACAAGGTCAGGGGCTCTTTTGCCTGGAGCACCGTTGCAGAGCCCAGTAGTGTCTATGGACTCTCAGTCATGCCCTGGCACATGCATTGGAAAAGAACCAAAAAGGGGGACCAGAAACTAGCGTAATGGCTATGTCGCTGAACTCCCACGTAGTCGACAGTGGTTCGAGTCCCAGACTCGGTGGCTTAAAACTCACGCTGGGCGCGTGTGCGTGCATGCCCAAGATCCCGAGAGGAGAATGAAGGAGAAGGGATTGCGGCGTGGCCATCCCCCTAGGGAGTGATTTCTCGCTTTCTGTCTCTCTGTCTCTCTCTGTCTGTCTGGCGAGCGCACACGCCCTATAGCAAAAACCTCTCCAAAAAAAAAGAAAGAAAGAAAGAAAAGAACCAAAAAGGCAGAAAAATATGGGAGAGGAGAGCTTGGTTAGTAATTTGAAAGCATGGCCCCAGTTTTTCTGACGAGAGAGAGAAAGTAAGAAAGCAAGCCACCGGGTCCAGGACTCAAACCACGGTTGGCCATGTGGGAGTCTGGCACCTTAATCACCACACCACTGCCAGCCCCCAAATTTCATTGACACCGCTCCCATTGATGGTGAAATCTATTCCCCCCCTCCTTGAATTTAGCCCAGAACATGGTGAAAGTACACTCTGTGACTTCCAAGTTTAAGTCACTAAAGAGGGAAAAGCATTTATACCGGAGCACTCATCCTCCTTGTAAGAAGTCCCATCACCCCAGGTCACCCTGTTGTGGAAAAGCCCAACTAGGTCAACAGACCACAGAGAAATATGGCAGAGAGAGAGAGAGAGAGAGAGAGAGAGAGTTGTCTGCCAGCCTCAAGCTACGCCAGCTCCAGCATCATTTGACTTCAGCCGCATGAAAGACACAAAACCAGAACCATCCAGCCAAGTGTTCTGGAATTCCTGACTTACAAACCACAGGGAATATAAAAATGATTGCTATTGCAGAAAGCCATTATGCTTTGGGGTGATTTGTTATGCAGTGATAGATCACTGATAACAAGCCTCTCACTTCCTTTTGCAAATGAGGAAGCTTGGCTTGCCGAGATTGCATAGCTTATAAACGACAGAGTCACCGCTTTGACTCCAGCTCAGGGCTCATGGTCAGCTGTTGGTTAAGTGTTGAGCTCTTTCAGGCTCCCAAAAGACAAACAAGATGCCAAGGAGAAGAGCCAGGGAACTCCAGGCCTTGAGTATCCCGTTCCAAATCTAGGCACTGTCATACCCTCTTTCCATCCTTAAGGCTGACTCAAAAGAATGATATTCAGGTTGCGCTTGGAGCTCCTTTCTCCCCTTCTTCTTCTCCTTTTTTTTTTAAAGAATCATTTATTTAATTTTATTTATTCATTCATTTATTTTCATTTGACCAGAGAAAGACACACACAGAGAGAAGGAAAGTGAGAAAGCAACCAGGTCTGGGACTCGAACCACAGTTGGCCATGTGGGAGTGTCCAGTGCCTTAACCACCACACCACCAAGGCCCCTTTCTCCCCTTCTGAGGCATTCTCTGAGACCACACTCTCTGAGTTCACAGAAGCACATCTTCCTTAAGTATTTGCACTAAAGTGTAGCCGAATGGTGCCAAATGATGTGCATATATGATCTCATCTAATCCTGCCAGGAGCCTGTGGGCGTGAGCTCTCTCCTGTTACCAATGAGCTCTGAGTGACCCAGCTCCTGTCTACTTCTCGTCAGAGACAAGCCGATCCTCCTCCCACCCCTGGTTCATCCCACATACCTGTGGTTTCTTTTGCCTAGAGCATCCATGCTCCTCCCTCCTCTCTGGCCATTCCCACTTATCCTTGAGGGGCTCTGTATAAGTGTCACTTCCTCAGGAAGCTCTCCCAGGTGCCAAGTGAGGTCCTCTTGGGACTGGGACAAGCCCCCTCCTGGTCTCTCTCTCTCTTGCTGTCTCACATTTGTTACATGCTGTCTCACACCTGCATACATCACAATTGTGATAAACAATTTTTTGCAAAAATTTTTTTGTAGCTTACTTATTTTTTTCAGAGAGAGACAAGCACCCTGCACAGGATCTTCACTCTACAGTCTACCCCCAGCCTCAGCCAGCCTGGGTTATGGGTATGCGTATGGCACCAATGTGCACAGAGAAGTCCTGGGACACGAACCTGAGACCTTCCCATCTGGGTGCATTGCCATTGTGTCACCATCTGGCTCCCTTGTGCAAACATCTTTTAATACCCCCTTTCCTCTCTCTTCTTTCTCTTCCTTCCTTCTCCCCTTCCTTCCTTCCTTCCTTCTCCCCTTCCTTCCTTCCTTCTTTCTTTCTTTCCTTCTTTTTTCCTTCCTTCTTTCTTTCTCTCTTTTCTTTTTCTTTCTTTTTAATTGCCAAAGTGAGCATGCACTCGTCAGAGAGAGAAAGAGGGAAAAGCACCCTCCCAGTGGGACATGGCCATACTACAATCCCTCCCCTCCATTTATCCATCTTGTCAGGATTTGGGGCAAGTATTCACACTTGCCTGACATGTTTTTCAAGTTACTGGGGCTGGGATTCAAACCATAGTTGACCATTTGGGATCTGGCTCCCTTTACCACTAAGCAACAGGACCAGCCCAGATGTCCCTTTCTTATGCAGGACTGTAAGGTCAATGAGGGTTGTCTCCTTCTTTCTTTTATACCTGACTCAGCATGGCTAGGAGGTATGAGAGTCAGAGTCACGCTTGTTAGTGTGGTGGCAGGGCTGCAACCCAGGCTACCAGATCCCATCCCAAGGCTCATCCTGCCACTGTGGGATCTTCCCAGCACCCACCCAGTCACATGGCTGGTAGAGACCCTGAGAGCATACCTGAGAAATACTTACATCACACCCTGCTTGGGGCAGCTGTTCCTGGTGAATTCATAGGTGTGCACCCAGCGAAAGGGAAGCATCTTTTGATTGTAGTGAAAGCAGCAGGACTTGGCCATGTCACTGCCACCTACAAAACAGGGAGAGGAAGGACCTTGGAGGTGCTTCCTCCCATTTACTCCCCTTCAGTCCAGAAAGGGGTCCTGGGAAGGGAACAAGGCAGCTACATACGTGTGGGAGCTCCAAGATGGATACTCAGCATGACGGCCAGGAGGACAGGAAGAATCATGGGGAAGCTCTTCATGGTGCAGCAAGCCAGGCCTTTCACAGACTTCTCCCAAATCCCTCCTTGTCTGACTTCTTTTTATCAGACTGAGGAGTCCCTGAAGGTACTTCCAGAGAAATTTGTGACTGAGAACAAAAACAATTCTTTTGACTCCAACAATGGAGAAGCAACCTGACACCCTGGCAGAGAAGGGGACAGTAATAAAATACGAATGGGGAGAAGAGGAGGGGCAAGCTCTCCACTGGGAGTCTTTGGCCCATTGCTATTGGCTCAGTCAATACTTTCTTGTTTGGAAAAACAAAAGTAGAGGAAATGAAGTAATATTCCAGTGAAATGAGCTAGGTTGTTTTACAATATACTTGGTTGTTCCAGATAGGTTCCTGGCTCCTGGGCAAAGTTTTGTTTGCTCTATAATTCCTGCTTATCTCTTGGTAAGGTCTGAACAGTCTCGAGGTAGGAGCAGGGAGCAGCCCCGCCTTGGCAGTGTGTATGCAGGAATGATGTTCCAGGGATATGCCATTCCAGCCTTCCTAGTACCGCATTCCCTGATCACAGGTGCTGGAGCTCGAGGGGGGCACCTGAGATATCTCATCTGGCCGGGAGGGTCCCAGACCTGATAGGTCATCACCATCACCTGGTGCTATTAAAAATATGTATGTGTTCTCCAGCCCTACCCTGGAGTTTTTAAAAGTGCAACCCAGACTTCTATATTTTAGCCAAAATTAGCTAAAGT